TTGACCTTAAATCCCCTTTAAATGTTTATCTACAAACTTGCGCGTGGAACAATATTTTATGTTGTAAATGTTATTGATGTGATGCCTGTTACATTTTTATTTAGAATGTTTTCCGGTAATAAATGTCAATAGTTCATTGCATCAAATGTAAATGAAATGTTTACATTAATTTTAACCGAATTATTTATACGGGCCAAGTACATTTAATACACGTCAACTGGGAGAAGTTGATTTCCTCTAGTATGTTTTTTTTTTTTAATAGATTACATAATATTTGAATAACGATCAAAACGAATAGATGAATAATTTATCATTCATATTTCAGTTTTTGTTTCAGTGTACTGTATAATAAGTAAGCATTTTTTACATATTAAACATAATATTTTAAAATATAAATTATAAAATCAGACAATATGTTATACGACCTATTTATTTTTCTGTATGGTTTTTTGGTACTTTTACTAAAACAGAATTTAATAAACAGAGGACAGTAAACTGCACCAACCGAGTATTGGGTATTGGTCGTTTTTGAGCGATTGACAATCTCACTAAAAATGGTTTTATTGAATTTACAAGGATTGTAATTTATTATATTTTTCCAATGTGTTTCTATTAACAACCAGGAGTGTCTTGGGCGATTAGGTGATTTTAATACAGTTTAATCTATAATCCTATGTACACGTCATGTCATTATCCAAGACAGAAAATATTTTACCGTCCGGAAAGTAATTTCTGAATGAAAAATAAAATAAAAACGTTCTTTTAAAATCAATACGTTTTCTCTTTCAATTTATAGTTTAAATTATATACGAACATAACATTTATCGTCTAGTTCCTGGTTGGAATTATTCTTTTGACTTCAAATAATACCGCAACCATCTTTTATCTATAAAACAGTAATTTCTAATTTGATTATGACAATTTTCCTTGAAACGTATTAGTTATTTTCAATAAATATAAAATTATGCCCACATATAAAGTATAAATAATTTTCAACATAAATTTGTCAAATACTCGGAAACGATTTGCACTTGATTTTATTTTGATCGGTATATTTACATTGAATGATGTACACGAGTGTATATTATTTGAAAATTTAATAACATTAAATATTTGTCGGAAATTTATTTAGTATACAAAAATACAAGAATTCTCCGAGTATAATACCGCGGTTCAGACTGTCCGGGGAGTGAAACATAAATAAGAATGGATTAAGAAAAAAAAAAAAACATTTACATTTTATTACCTACTCCGCAGAATTCCTCGGTGGACAGAGGTTTGAAAAGAAGGAGAACCTGCTTCATCGTAATTCAGAATTATATTCCGTTGCAAAATGCGTACACTGCTCTAACGAAAAAAATGTATCTGGATTTATCTATTCGGGTTGTGTTCAACGTATTTTCTAACGTTGGTCTAGGTACGCTTGTCTTCACGTTGTATGCGTATCTATTGGACATTAAACTAGTCTAAATGGAAAACTATAAAGATTTTCCAGATCCATCAGCACGTGTAATAAAACAATAGGCTCGCGGTGATTTGTGAATCTTATAGTGTTGCGAGTATATTTCCAACAGATGGTTTTTTTTTTTTTTTGTTTATCGATAAAAAAAACATGTTCGTGAAAATGTTCGACCTAATTGTTTGACTATCACGGATGCCCGGAACGTTTCTAAAAAAAAAAAAACTGGTAATCCGATCGAATTCGATACACGCGTAGAACGCAGACGAATCGGCGGAGTTCGCGTCCGTAACGGAGAAAGTGCGACGGCGGCGCAAAGTTGCAAACGACGAACACAATATGGCGCATACCACGTTTCGATATTCGTCGATCTCGTCAGTTCGGGGGATGGACAACGCACTCAAGTATCGGTTTTCGAACGCATTTTCATGAGCCAAAAGCGACGAAACCTATGCAAGGTTAATTATTTTACCAGCACAGTTATTCTCGGTCATTCTAACCGACCTCAGGATAAAATATTAATTATCAGATATTGCAAATTTTTATCGAAACGATTCGGAATTTTACGTTGTGTAGGTAACTCGCGGTAATTAGTTAAAATATGGACGTGTTTAATGTATACAATTGTTATCGATTCAACTTTTATGCAGAACTATTGAAAAAAATATAACGCTTAAGATTTTCATAGATCATAACACTGAAATAATGACTAATTAGTTCATTTCAGTGAGTTTCTTTTTACGATCAACACGCCCTTGAACGAACGGAAAAATAAGCCAGCGGAACACGTGCCTCGTTTACGACCGGGACGTCGGGAAATCCCTATTCAATTTCACCACACACACACTGTGAATGTCACGTTTATACCATGGTGTTGCAATGATCGATTTGATTGTGTTTTAACAATAGACTTTAATTAGCTGCTCAATTTATTTGGTAGTTGCTAATCGCTACATTACGCCAATATAGATTTCTGATGAAATGTCTATTTTCGACGTGTTTTGCTACACGATCGGTTATATATTTTTCGATTTTCTTCGTATTATTTATTTTAGCTCGACAAGTTTGTAACTAACGCATTAGGAGGTACTCGAAGTCGGTCGTAAAAATCGTTCAATCAAAAAATAATCAACAAATTGAACACAGCTCATCCGACGTTGATTTGAATGCTCGCTGTTTTAATTTTTCCAGCTATGCTAATACATAGGAATTATTGAGTTCGTTCAATGTTTCACCGAAATAATAGAAAAAAAAATCACCAATAACACTGGGAAGTAACGATTCGAACCGATACTTAATGATATTACACTTAAAAATATTACTGATCAGTCATTGTTATCGTAAACTGTTCGTCAGGAATATCGCGAGACCTACTGGAGACCAAGTAAAAAGTTTCTGGAAAATAGGGTGAAATGTACGCGGACGAGAAATGTGTGCGCGATTTTAACATAGAAAAAATATAGGTCCCACGATTTAAAAATTTGTTACGTCCCCTCGATCACCAAAGTCTGAACACGCCCATGAGTATTTTCCTAGAAAGATATAAATAATAAACAACAATAACAATTTGAAGTAAAAAAATTCCACGGGGGACTAACTCTTTAATAATGCCGACAGTATTTGGTCCCATGCGTAAATAAAATCAACGGCTTCCCCGCCCCCGCGTCTGGACGCTACAGAGAAACCCCGTACCAATTAATCAATTCCAAACCAAACCGTTTACGATTTTTTTCGGCATGGGCGCAACTAGAGCCCGAATATTGCGGGTGCTGAAATTTCTGAAAATAAAATAAAATTGTATTTAACTGTAATTACTATAGATTATATAGATCTGAAAAAAAAAAAAACAGGAGTGCTACATTTGAACTCGATCTCAGGGGTGTTATAAACCCTATTGCGCCTATGTTTTTTGGTTGTGCGGGCCACAAAAGAAATGTCGTTGGCGTACGGAAAAAATGCGTACAAAACAAAACCGTTGCGTAATGAACTCCGAATACGCGTGTATTGCATGAACCTGAACGCCGTTTTCATAAAAACGCGTACGTTCATGTTCTTAAACAGGGCCGGATAAACCTAGGTGCAAAAGGAGTATTTGCTCCAGGACAACAACTTTAGTGGGGTGGCATATTTAAAATTGCCTAAAAAAAAATAATAATATTAAGTACAATAATTTAATTTACGATTAGAAAATAATATTGTAGGGTGTTCCATAAAGTGTATAACTTTTGAATATTTTTGTATGTTTTGTTAGACCCGTTATTGTCATTTATAGTATTTTCTACGATTCCGATTTGATTTTCTGTTGTTGTTTTGTTGAATTGTAAAATTTAAACATAGAAACAGATTTTGTAGAAGATTTGTAAAACATTTCAAATCAATTGTTCAAAATATTCTGTCAGAAGCCAAAATTACTTTTACTGCTGAGAAAACCGAAAACATCGTCTATAGAGATATCGTTTCCTAATATCAAAATCGTTTTAAGAATTATTTGCAGTTCACCTTCTTTAAATGCAATTGGCAAGAGATCGTTTTCTGTTTTAAAACGTGTAAAAAATTATTTAAGATCGTCATTAATAGAAGGAAAAATGTTCAATTTATTAATTTTATGCATATGCATAGAACGTAATTTGGTGGAGAAAATGAAGTGAGAAGAACTGATACAAAACATTTTCAACTCTTAAATCCATAAAAAAAACATATTTAAAGAAAAATAAATAATAGTATTAGTTTTTTTTTAATTACGTTAACATTAAAAATCACTTTATTATCTGCATATATTTTAACCAGTTTATTAATATTATAATCGTATTTTGTAGTTATTTTTCATTCATTTAAAAAAATTCTTGGGAAAACTATTCTGTGACGTTAAACATAAAGTTATACTTTTTAAGTGTAAGTAGATTAATTATTATACCAGGTATATTTTATAACAGCATTTATTTTTTTTTTAATTTATGCATAGAAACTAGGGACTAGGTCTCGTTTAAACCTTATTTTTTCGTGGGGAGGGGGGGGCAAACGTTATTTGCTCCAGGGCAGCGTCGGCCCTTAATCCGTCAACCGGAATTAGGCACCCGTAATTGCGTTCGATCACCGTTTTACCGTAACGGAACGGTTTCGATTTCGTTCCTCTCTGCAGACATCACACGACTTTTGTCGTCAGCCCCCCGATATGAGCTCCGTACCGTACCGGACACCCGTAACACCGCGGCCGCGAACGGCGCGCGCACGTCGGATCGTTCCCGGACACGCGGCTACGTGCAGCTGCATGTCGGTGCACGTCGGCGGTCCCCCGCCACCGACGCCGCAACAGCTGTGTACGCGCGCCGCCGCCTTCCGGTCGTTTCCTTCGGTCGCCCTAACACCGAACACCACGATCAGTCGTGTCACGTTCGCCGCACCATTACCACGTACGTCGTAACCTCCGTCGCATAACCGCTGCCGCCGTCTTATCGCGTTCGACAACCGATCGTCGTCGTCGTCGTGCCGAGGTCCCGACGTTTCCATTCACCCCATCGTTGTCCTGTTTCACCGGTCGAACATGGGCAGAAGCCTTGCGCTGTGGACGAAGACGCTGAGCTTCCCGTCCCGCAACTCGCCGAACAAATCGTCCAAGCACAGCATCACCACGTCCATCAACACGTCGTCGTGCACGATCTTCGCGCCGGCCACGCCGACCAAAGAGAAAACCACGCCCGTGTCCACGCCAGACGTAAGTCGTGCGCGAGTCATTTCGCCGTTTTATTATCGCCTATGTTGTTTCGTTTACCCGTTGCGCCGCCGCGGTTAACATCGCCGGAAGGTCCCGGGTCAGTGGGCATGATTCCGAAAAATCGTCTCCACCGGTGCTCTCTCTGCTCAGGGGCGATTGCCTCCCCCCCAGAATCTGTGTTTAAGGAATCGATTATATGTGGGATACACATTTCAAATTTTTTCAATGTGGATCGTTTTATAACGATATAAAATTACGCGTGGCTGCGAATACTGGATTGGGCCTTTTTTTCGGGTCCATACTTAGTGAAAAATCAAATAAAGCACAAGCAAATTTGAGTCGCCTCCCCCCCCCCCCCCAAGCAAGTTTAAATACGCCCCTGTCTTTGCTGCCGGTTATCGCCCGTTAGTGCACTTCTCTTCATACTAACAGGCATGATAAAGTGAATTATTTACTTTATCATGCTTTTAGGTACACAGTTTCGTTACGTATTCGTTTTTTAACCTTTGCTCAGCTCTACAGGGAGGAATCATGTTCACGAGTGCTTTTCGCCTGAAGTCCATCGCGGTCGGACTGCACCCGATCCCTGGCGCGCTTGCATCATACGACCCTTCACACGACTTGCAGTCTAAGCTGTGATGTCGGAAAAAACCTTAAACCATTAGAACGTTTTAAATTGTTAGCGGAAGGCTAAAGGTTGATAAGGAAAATAAAGGAAACAAGACTTTTTCGGGTTTTCGAAAAGATCGCTTACCTGGGTCAATACGTATTTAAAAAAACGGTTTTTTTTTCCCTCTTCCGTTCATTACGCGTCGATTTTACGATTACTAACTATCCGACGTTACATAAGTAGATTAGCTACTGGATAATAACCATTTCCGAACACCGATATTGTACACCGTAAACCGTAGTAATTCACAGCTTGTATTATACAGTGAGAGTATTGCATGATTTCGAAAATGTTAAAAAATCTCAATATTAAGAATTTCTCTAGGCGTTTGTATTAGAGGTACGCAGTATTATATCTCATTATTATAACTTTCGCGTAATTAGACATATTTTTTAGATTTATAATTTCAAAAATAATAAGATTATTAATGAGTATGTACTCAAACGTTAAAGGGGAAAGTAATTTGAACAATATTGTATAATGATGGGTAGTATTCGAATTAAAAAATACGAAATAATCGACCGAAAATTATTCAACAAAAGTTAATATCATTGTAGTAAGATAATCTTTGTCAAGCGCGTGTATATGTTTAATAATTTGTCGAAATGTTTTTTCGAAATACTTGATATTAAAAAAAAAGTGAATGAATTTAGCTCTAGATAATGAAAATGCATTAAAGCATAAGGGTACCAAAGTAAAATAAAGAATTCAAAGAATTAATTCAAATTGATTAATTTTGTCAGACATATTTGATCGTAATCGTTGTTTGTTTAAATATATTCAAAATTCGTAGTTGAATCATATTAAAATTGTATTATATTTGTTTCACGAGTGTTATATTCATTTTTAAAAAATAAAACAAACACGCATATTACATTAAGTAGAATATCATGTATTATGATACTATATGGGGGTTCGTTGGGTTGATTTCATTAAACACCTGCTTGACTGTCTGTGACCAAGACGGGCAACCGCGTAATAAAATAATGATAATAATTGTTTGGTGGTGTTTGCATTATTTTTATTATTATTATTATTATTATTATTATTATATTTATTTAATGATATTCAAGGAAAACGGTATACGCACAACTCAAGTGTACAACAGTATACGTACATTTAATACCTGTGTACACCACGGTTGTCCAAACACGGATGTAATACTCTGAACCAACTAAAATTTACCAAAATCATAAAGTAAATAATAATAATATAATGCAAGCGTATAACAATGCAGTAAGATGGCGTAATTATATTATCCGTCGCATTTGCATACAATTGTCGTTTTGAAAAATATTATTACTGTATTCATATGTACCTAGCTACGGTGTGCACTCTGCAGACACAGGCAAATAGTAACGAAAAAAAAAACTACCGACCCGTGTACGTATAATGGTTGACCGTTTCGTTGTTGTATGATAATTGTCTATAATATTCTGAAGAATGTACACTCCCGAAATCGTTCGTAAAATGCATCCTGTCCGATAGCATAGGCAAAACGCGCGGTATTTTCCATTCCACCCTTTCCTACAACATCGGGCTTAATTTTCAAACCCAAAACGACAACGGCTCCGACTCGTCCTCATACCCGCACTTTTTACCATCCGTACGCTATACGCAATGCGGGTTTTTAGTTTTTATCGAAGCAGCTGTTTCATGACCAAAATGGGGTGAGTGCGTGGGTGGATAGTGGTTGTGTAACAGAAAAGCTTAATACATAATACATAATACATGCTCCGCGTAAAATATTATAAAAAAAAAATAAACATCAGTATTAAACGTTTCGCTCTGAATTTAAAACCTTGACTTGGGGTGGATACTCGTTACATGTAATTGGTTCGTTTGAAAATAAACTTCGCACCGCCACTGGCAATACGTATTCGGACGAGTGGATGAATTACAGTAAGTTTAACGATGAAAGGCGTGATCTTACGATTTTTTTTTGAATCTATAACAACCACCCGTACGTGCTAATGCGAGAAAAAAAATTATCCATTCGAGACGGCCACACTTCCGATACGAGGAACAAATCGCGAAAACGTGAGTGCTACCCGTTTCCACTGCGCGCGGAAGTATCATTATAATAATATTCTTGTCTCGCGTGGAACATGGACGAAAATCGGTTATGCGAGACACGCGCCGCAACAGGTGTAAAAAATTATAGTTTCCAACCGGAGGGTTATACAGGGAAGATGAATCGTGCGTTATCGGTATACGGGGCCTTTTTATAATATTGCGCACGTAACGTCGACGAAAATATATCGAATTTCTGTCTTTCTCCGTGTGCGGTTTGTCGAAATTAAAAACCGTCGAATAGGTCAAATGACCGTGACGACGGAGTAAAAAAAAATTCGAATTTCAAAACAGGGTTGTACACTAATCATTTCACAGGATGTCCGGTGTATCACGGTGTACCTTCGCAGGGTTTATTATAACAACCTCTTTCTACTACTACTACTGCTATCGATATAACATAATAAATAATATACCTGTTGAGAGAAGATCCCGCGGTATTACGGATCTAGGAGGCAGAGTAGACCAATAACAACTCGTTATTGTTGAAACGAGGCGTTGTCATTGTATAATATGTTATGATCTCGCAAAGTCGCGTCCCATAGCTAACGGGTATTTTGGCATTTTGCGTCGCGTCAAAAACACATGGTAATAATAATAATAATAATAATATGTAAACGCACTACGCGCGCGTAACCAACCGGTTGCCGCCCGCCACCGTTCCTACACGATATTGTTGTTATTATCTATTCATCTTCGCGTATGTTCCATTTCTCCTGCGCGAATCATTAAAAAAAAAAAAATCCTTATGCAATATTAATGACGCCTTATTAATTCGAAAGCAATTATACGCAGTGGTTCTCCGTCGCGGGCGGGGGTGCGAATCAACGCGTTGTTCCTTACCTTGCAAACGAACTCAGTGCGGTGTAATGCGTTCTCCGTGTACGGTACGACGGTTTCGATTGAAGTAACGAAAATTCAAAAAAACAACGCTTCGTTTGCAATGTAGGTTAATTCGGTGGTATTGTGAAAAACGCATCGTTCGCTCGGTTAGTGCCCTAATGATCGTATTCATGCACCGTCCATCCGTTAATTGCATTAACCAACCATCCGAAGTTCAAAAGAGGAAGTCGCTTGCTAACAACGATGGATTAGGAAAAAATAATACAATCACAGTACATTTTGAAATTTGCAATCGTCCGGTTGATGATACATGTTAAGATCAGATTTGAACGATTTCTGTAGCATTAACGAGATAATTTGTACCGCGTAACTTCTTTAGATCAAATGTCTTCGACTCAGTGCAAATACAAATAATGTAATACATAGCATCTCAGCGTTATTGCTTACGCGTAGATTATAGATATCAGCTGTGTAACTGTTTATACGTACAAGTATATTCCAGTGTTTAATATTCACGTTGAATGACTTATTATTATTTATTTTTTTGTAGTAGCTGGCAATTATTTTATTTTCCGAATATAATCCTTATGGTAATAGTTGTATCAATGATGTCTTTAAACCATTTCTAAATCACAATTGTAAACATTGTTGCCAACGATAGTACCATTGTTAATAATTTAGAGACAATTTAACTACAGCCATATTTTACTCATTAGTATCTTTCTTAGAAGTTTGATTTTATTAAAAAATTAAGGAAATTTAAAAATGAATGGAAAGTTATTTACTAAAAAATCTATTTTAAAGTGACATCCAGTGTATTTCCAATTTTATTCAACTTTTCTGTCCATATTCGTTTGTATAAAAATAGTAACTCATGAATTGATTGAGTTCTAAAATATAAATATTTAATTTATAAAATCATAAAAATAAAAATTTGTAGGAGCGAGAGTATTAGAATAATTTAGTTGGTAACCACGCGTTTTGGCCTAGCCCATTGTCGGATTAAATTAATTATGATAACAGATTGTCGATATTATTTTACATAAACAAGTTCTATAAGATATTTTGTGTTACCTACATTTTTTAAGTTTTTTTGTCGAATCAATATTATTGTAACGACATTTTACGAAAAAAAAGTCAAGAGCACACAACAGTTTTAAATATTTATAATTAGTTTAAAAAAGTTGAAAATGTTGAGAATTATACCATCTACAGAGATAAAGGTGTTAATTATATGAATTCGGAAAGGCTTCATGTCCTTATAATGTTTTACTTAAGTTACAACGAAAAATTTAAGTTTATTTTTTGTTGTTATAATTTTTCGTTTGTTTTTTAAATTATTTTGACTGTTGAAAATTTCAAAACATTAAAATCGAGTTGATACTGGACGACACGAAAAAATTAAATAAATAAAATAAACTCCATGGTAAAATCAATATTTCCTTTGCACCACTCAGAATATAATATACAATTTACAGAGAATAAGAGACACTATTCATTAACGAAACGTCAAAATGAAAATAGTGTTTTTTTATAATTGTTATTTTTTATGTTACCACAGAAACATATTCCCTAGAATAATGATTCATGCATTACGTAATAATAATAATAGTGGAAATTCATAGTTATTTTTTTCCAAATGTGTTAATAAAAAATAAAAAAAAGTATTTGATAAAAAGCCTCTTGTATTACTGTTCTTTGTAGACATTATTTTTGACGAATGTATAGATTATATTGTAGTGCTTTTTTTTTTTTTTTTGTATACCGAAACCGGCAATAATATGGAACCGACGGAACGTGACCCCAACTAAGGGAGGATTCACTTAATCACTATTCGAAAGCATCTGTCACAGATCCGACACATGTGGGGAAGAAGAATATGACCCTATCGGCCGCATGTACCATACATAGGAATTCCTAAACGGACATCTGTTCAGACTTATTTAGTATGAACTAAATAATTCATAATAATAAAAGTATGACGTGATGCGTGCGACTTAAATGTTATCGGGAGGTCAGATATAATGTGTTAAAGCATATTTTCAAAAATAATTTATGTACGTTAACAACAATAATCTCAAAGGAAAATTGGATACGATTGTCGTAGGAATGTTTTAGTGCTGTCAAAATTACTTCGTTTCTATTGCTAGTTGACTAATGATCTTCTTGGATCGCATCTGTACAAAAACATACGCTCGACATCTCAAGTATATACGCGCATAAATATCTCCGATTTTATTATTTATTGTATTCTATTATCCATTCGGCATGTCAGTGGTGGTTAAACATAAATTTTTTTATTTTTCTTTAAGAAAACATTAGATAGGGCACCAATTTCGTTACTAAAATACTCGTTTGTTTTGTTTTGTCTTCATATAGAGGTTAGTTAAATTTTTCCAGGCAATCTGAATTACATATAGTTTAATATTTAATTACTATAAACTTAACAATTTTTATGTAATTTAAATGAAAACCTCGTATGAAATTTGCCATTTTCATGTTTTATTCATTAAAACTACATTAAATTGTATAGATCTTTCTCGATTTTTGTCGGATTACATACAAATATAAATTATTTATTTCGTTATAAATAATATATTATTCGTATATTACTCGTATTATATTAAGGCGCATGTTGTGTGGTCTTAAAACTCAAGTATTTTCCCATTACAAATGTTGATCAAGTGCCTATTACTTATTTAGCGGTTGATTTTTAAGTGTGTAGTATTAATTAATCGGTCAATACTCTTTAAAAGTAATCATAGATACTTAATCTACAGATGCATTTTAGAGACCCCAAAGCCCGCAGGAGGTCCGTGTGGATGTTGGACGAACAGGTGTGTTTCGGCAACCGTAACTTCTTATATAATGACTTGACCAGAACTCTAGGGGCCTCCCTTAAGCTTCGCCAAGCGTATATCCTTCGGTTTGAAACGCCTTTCATTATATTATTATTTTCGTGGCAGTAGATATGGCAAGAGGAATCACACCTGGTTTGGTTTATCTTGGTGCTCAGTCTACCTTGACATGACGTTAAAAAAATAACAGTAATTTATTGTGATATCGATTTTTATATGTGCACATGCATTTATTAATCAAGTAGGTACTTAAGTTGTATTTTAACTGCAACGAACTATGGTGTAGTGACCTCTAGTTTTGGTGTAACGATTTCAAAAGTATAATTTTGGATATGCATTTTCGAATAACGAGAGACGCGGACCTATAAAAATCTACGAAAAAACCTCAAGACAAATTAGGCATAGAGTAAAATTATCAGGATCGAGTCACGACATGTTAAACAACTACAGCTTACATAGCGATATACAACACCCATATATGAAACTAGAAGGAAAAAAACCATTTATAATAAAAGAATCGGGATGCATTACCAGAAGCTACTGTCCAACATTTACCAGTCGGAGGCGTAGTAATTCAACCACTTCTATGAGAACTAACTCGACATGTACCTTACTTCCTCCTACCTACCTAACCTATATCAATCTTAAACAGTTTAATCGATTTCTGCGGTTTCCTTCCCCGTGGTCGTCACTGGACCATAAACGAGATTTTATAATTACTTACACTCGAAATTTCTACAATATTACGCATCCATAACATCATCCCACTCAATATTATGTTTCGATATATAGGTTTAACACGTGTATTACGAGAATATTTGACTTTATGTAGGTAAACCAAATATTCGGTGCACATTATACGGATAATTTTTTATATCCAGCTGTGAATGGAAAAACGTTAGTTGATCCCAATCATAAAGATACATATAAACTACAAAACACATGGTAAACTATATGTAATTGCTGACCCATTGTAAAGCCTATATAAAAGAACTTGCACGTGTCCTTAAACGCGTTCTATTGTTTCGCGCGTGAATGTAATTTCTCTTCTTATGAAAAAAAAAAATAATATAATAAAATTGGCGTTGCAGATTTTTATTAATATATGGGTATAATACATCGGTGTATAGCGTTGCGAATGTACGTAGTATATAATGTGTTAAAAAGTTATTTGGTTGAAAATCAAGTCTTAAAATTTAATTATAGTGAACAGACGTATACAACAATAAATGCGTTGAATTTGTGTGGGAAGCATAACTATTTAAGTTATTAAAATCTATATTTATTGTTTTGATTCATTGAATAGTTATACTATTGAAACTTAAAATTTTAGATGCATAGGTATCTATTCTTTTATGTTGATTTTGAAATTTTTGTATTTACAACAATTTTTAATTTAATTAAAATATAATTACAAATTAAATCATTTATTAGGTTTTTTCCATTACTATATACTTAATTTTATTAAAAGATATTTATAATTTTCTATTGTTTAGTTGATTTTCGAAACAAAATAGTATAATATTAAATACTTTTATTTTTCAGGTCTCCGATTGTGAAAAAGATAAAGATATAATGGGCTCCGTTGTCTATTGCATTCACCATAAAGAAGGTTGTAAATGGAGTGATCAGTTAAGACGATTAAAAGTAAGTTTATATCTAAGTAACCATTAAAATTAATATTACCAAATCATTTTTTCAATAAAAAAAGTATTTATAAAGTAATAATTGAAGTTAATAAACATATGCATTATAATTAACAGGGACACTTGCAAACGTGTAAATATGATGCTCTACCTTGCACCAATCACTGTGGAGCTCAAATTGCTAGGATTTTAATGGATGATCATGTAAGATATACTTGTATAGAACGTGTCATCAAATGTGAACATTGTAATGGTGAAATGAAAGGGGAGGCAGCTGGTGAAGAGCATAGTAGAACTTGTCCAGTAGAACCAATCCATTGTGAAGCCAAATGTGGTGTAAAAATTCCAAGACGAATGTTAGCCAAACATAAGGTAAAATATTATTGAACTATAATATTTTGAATAATTCAATAACACAATATTTTTATTCAGGTTACAGAATGCTCAAAAAGATTGGTACCCTGTCGTCATTGTGGACGGCAGTTTGTGGCCGATACTATAAATTCACATTCAACATCATGCCCACGTTTCCCTTTACCTTGTCCTAACAGGTGTGAAATAGTTAATGTAGCTCGTGAAGATTTAGAACACCATATTAAACATGCGTGTAATTCCATGTTAATATCTTGCAGCTTCAAAGAAGTTGGCTGTCGATTCAAGGTAACACAATACAAATTTCAACAACTCTATTTTACTAACTTTTTATTTTTAATCATAGGGTTTGAGAGGAAAGCAAATGGATACACATATGGATGAATCAAGCCAACAGCATTTAACATTGATGTGTTCAATGGTGACCAAACAACAACAACAAATTGTATCCATGAAAAAAGTGATAAATAATTTAACTGTCAATCAGTCAGGTAAATACACTTTTTTTTACAATAGTACATAAATTATAATATAGATTGCTTATAACGAATTTATTATTTAAAGGTACATTGATTTGGAAAATCAGTGATGTACTGGAAAAACTTGAAGAAGGTCGGCATAAATTATGTGGTGATGGCTTAGAACTCATCAGTTCGCCATTCTACACCAGCCAGTTTGGGTACAAGTTGCAAGCATCGGTGTTTTTGAACGGCAATGGGTCTGGTGAAAACACACATGTATCTGTTTATATAAAAATATTGCCAGGTGAATTTGATGCCCTTTTAAAGTGGCCATTTTCACATTCTGTAGCATTCACATTATTCGACCAAAGTGAAAAGGTGTGTATTTGAATGATATTGTACACATTTATAAACTTAACCTAATATGAAGGATATATTTGCACATTACAGTCAAATGTACTTATTTGAAAGCTATGTATCAAAAATAATCAAAATAGTATATTTATGAAGGGCAAATTGTATGTCGAGAAAAAAAAAATAAAAAAAAAAAAATAAATAAACAAATTAAACAAAAAATACAGTCAAAATCAAGAGGAACGTCTTACGATTAAAATAAATATATTTCAGTCAAAATTAAAACAATACCTAAATATACATATTATTTATATATATATAAAAAAAAAAAAAAATAACAAACAAGAAATATGAATTAACATTGTAATGTGCAAATATATTATTCTAGTGGTTATATACATTATATAAATTCAAAATACAAATATTTTAACTACCTTTATCATTCCTTAGCCATGCAACATAGTTGAAAGTTTTGTGCCTGATCCATCTTGGGAGAATTTCCAACGACCAAGTATGCAGCCAGATAGTCTTGGATTTGGTTTCCCAAAATTTGTGTCACATGAAACACTTTTGAAAAAAAGACAATTTACTAAAGATGACACAATTTTTTTACGTATCAAAGTAGATCCTAGTAAAATAGTAGCAGTTTAGAAAATAATTTTCATTTTATAAGCTCTTAATATATGATCTCGCAAAATGTGAATGAAAAGAAAAGTGTAAACGTGTTCAAATTTAAATTTTTTTGTATTTTAGTAGTCTTTTTATCACAACTGATAATGTACAAAATATGTGGACTGTTTGTTGTTTGAGTCAATTCTTACACCTATTTGTTAATCAATTGATTAACTTAATTTATCTATGTATTTTTTGTTTATTTTTTCCTTAGAATATTATACCAAATTATTTTTATAGTATCATAACTATTATACTGTACACTATAATATTTTGTTATTCACATTAAACCTATTTAATATTAAGTATTATATAACTGGTATTTTATTATATACAACTTACATCACACAAATCTATTCTTCAAAAACTGAAAAAGTTGATACGAATTATCTCTATTTCCATCAAGGTGTAACATATCTATCCAAAGTGTATCATCTGTTTTTCTTAATACCAAAGTAGCAGCAAATAATGCATTGATATTTGCAGATGTTTCCAAGTTTTGTTCAACCTTTTCGTCATCAGATTCATTGGATAAATTATCATTAGTTTTCTGACGTTTATTATCATTCGATTTTTGTTCCATACGCCTTTTTCGTCTTTGATGAGTCCAAGTATTTTCATAAGCTTTAATGTCCGCTTGAAACAAAATGTTTTCATCTTTTTCTGATTTTAATAATGAAATTGACATCTAATAATGAAAAAAAAAATAAAAAAAAAAATATATATATATATATATAAATTTGTTTATAAAAAAAATAAATATAAATTTACCTTAAGATCGGCGAGTAGTTTAGTTAATTTAGCTAAGGCAGTAGATGAGTCATAAGAATCTGAAATATTAAAAGACACTGGAGGTCTTAATTTCACTTGAGATTTCATCTTTTGAAATTCTTTATTAGGCATAAAATCTTTTAATTTGATATCTGGCTGAAATGTCCAAGCAATACCCCAACGTGCAGTTTGACCTTGAAAGAAACCAGCTTTTGCAATTGCACATGCTCCAATAGCTTTCAATTTGTTTTTTAGAAGACCTAATGATGACTTATAACCAACCATTGATGTATAAATACTATTAAAAAATGTATTAAAATAAATTTTAATTAAAATATAAATATATTAAAATCTGTGAAATATGGAAATCAATGTGTAGTTTATGTTCAGTCTAGTTAGATAAATTGACCGTTAGCAATCATTGAATTTAGGACCATACATTTTTGTGTATTCACCGTTGTTGATACCCATTGGTATAATTACTCTGAGTCAATTTTTCATACAGATTTATAAATCAGCATTGCTAAACAAATTTAAAATGCAGTTAACATTATTATTAATAGTACCTTTAATATATATTTATACACCAAACAGCATCCAAAATTATAAAATTAAATAATTAGAATACATTTTTATATTGGTAAATTTTCAAATTTTGTGTAGTTTACATGCTAGTTTATGTAGTCAAATATTGATAAATCAAACGTTGATAAATCAAAAAAAAAAAAAAACCTCAATATTTTAATTTTATAAGAGAATCATTTTAGTTATTAAGGTTTTTAGTAAACGATGCTGTAAAAAAATACTTAACTACTATACTATATAAGCATTTATCATAAATATTTATAATCAATGATATTAGATATAGATATTTGTTAGCCAGAATAATTGTATATATTGAACAATTCTACCCATCTTATGATTTCCACATTAAATAGATTTTACTATAATAAAATTGTGTTACATCATTACCTTATTGAATTCTTTAATGTTTCACTTTCTTGAATTATTTTTTGGATAAACTCAACTTCACCACCAACTGTATACATTTCACAATTTACTCCTTTGTCACTGTTTGAATCATCATCAGAATTTAAATTTGAAAATTTATGAAAGGGTGGATTACACATACAAAAGTCATAATGATCATTTGCTGCTACTGGCAATAAGCTATCCCACTCAGATACTTCTAGAACTATAAATTCAAAAATTGATATAATTTTTTTTATTTCACTCACCATAGGTAAATTACCTCGAATTAAATGTTGTAAATTATTTTTTTCAATATTTTTAGTTGCATTTTTAATGGAGTCTTTGTTGATATCAGTACCAACCATTGACCATTGAAATTTTTTTGCTGCTAACAATGGATAAATGCATGATGCACCAGTGCCTAGAAATGAAATGTTTATCTAGAGGTCTCGTTTGAAAACGTGAATTAATATGTACGTGAATACGGAGTTCATGTTCACGTGAATGGAAAATTTACAATCACGTATATTTAATACAAGTGAATTTACTGTCCGTGTTTACGCGAATTAGTGTTAATCACATATTCACGTGAATTAGCGTTATTCAAGAATACACCGCACGGCCGTACGGATATATAGTAACTGGCCTTTATGTACAGCGACTGTCAATTGAATTATCTGATTATTATTTACTTTTGTAATAAGTTAGGTACCTATACCTCCTAATATCAAATAAAATATATTTTATATATTTATATTAATAAATATATTTTTATATTTATTATAATTAATAATTAATTATAATAAATATAAAAATATATTATTATTATATATAATAATTATTATTGTACATCTTTATGAAAATAAATATTCCTCAACCCTGGTATAAGTCTAATTATTATATGTAACAATGAAGAAGTAAATATTAAAACTTTTTAACAAGTGAATACGTGAATTAATTACACGTGTACACGAATTTTTAAGTACACGGTTTAATAATTCCGAAAGTTAATTTCACGGGAATACGAGAAAATATGTACACGTGAAATAGGGACCACATTGTTTATCAAATTTTATTATATTAATCATAACTTATTATTTTTGACATCTTAAATAAATAAAATAAAAATGGTTTAAATTAATCGATTAATAAATATTTTAGATTTAAGAAATCAATTATATAAAAAGACCAAAGAATAAGGTATTTATATACTTTATTAATATAAATATTTGCGCCTTTGAACTTTGAATCATCAATATACTTATGTTATATGTACTATTATACTAAAAAAAAAAATGAGTTATAATTAAATCATTCTTAAATATATGAAACAATAAATTGTTTTAAAATATTGATACTTATAAATAATTAATAATCAATATATTAGAAGAATTGGTCTAGAATTTTCTTAAGCATTTATTATAAAGTATAGTACTAAAAAAACATTTATTATACAAGTTATTATTTTTTTTAATAGTTTATACTTGAAGCATTCAGAATGTTGTCATGTTGTCTCTATAGAACTTTTTGAAAATCATTATTGTTGGGTCAATTTTACTTTTACCATTGAAATTCAAGAACTTAATTTGATTACAAATAGAACAAAAACATTATTTTAACTATTTATAATTAAAGCTAGTAATACTAAAAAATTGTTAAATAATAGTTTATGGGCATCAATTTAGCCTTTACCATGGGTTTTATATTTTTTGTTTCTATTAAAATTTCATGTTTATATTATACTGATATTTAACTATGTAAATTACCTATGTCAATTCCTTTTATTTTCTTCTTACTATCATAGTTCAAGTTAAACAAATCCTCGATCCAGAGTAAATAGTTAAGCCGCAACGGAACAGTAGGTACCAGTTTTCCAACAGGTAACTCAACGTCCAAATCAAAGTCTTTCTTCAATAGTATAGTAGATAACAGTCTAAGAGCTTCCTGGTTCTTAAAGTCAAAAGTAATTTTTCCATTCAATCCCTGCAAAGACATAATATTTTAAATTTTTTTTTGAAAAACAGTGATCATAATAACAGCAAAAGTGTTCTGAGAGTTTGTGTGCCTGTAAGCACATTATAAAACCTTCTTTATCTATATCAGGGATGGGCAACTTAAAGTAACTAGAGGGCCAATTTTTAGAAAATTAAAATTTAGCGGGCTAGAGCATAGAATATAAAAATAAAAGATCATTCAAAATATGAATTTTAATTAGCATTTATATACATGGAAATAATAAATTCAACACACATGATAGCATAATACGAATGGTACGAAGGAACTGATAAAGTTAAATAGTTCGCTACAAACAGCTATCGTTGGAAGTTAAACTTATACATACATATGACATTTAAACGTTTAAGAATGTTTAATACTAGATAAAAATTATTATATTGATAAGTCAAAGTATAGATGACAAACTTTAAAATTGTATGATGTAATTTTAAAATATATTATGGGCCACCAGTTGCTCACCCCTGATCTATATTATACTTGTTTTACAAAATAAACATTTCTTTTGTGTACCATTTTCTTCAATGAATTTTTTTTGTTATTTCATGTAAGTATAATGTTTTTGATTATATAAAAGAATGCGTGAAAGAGAAAAAGAATTAAAGCAATTCTTAGCTCATAAAATTACTTCTCAAAAATTAACATTCTATTCTACGTACAATTATGTTACACAAATAACTATCACTGATGGTATTTGATCATAGGTAAGGTGATACATCCTCTATTGTTGCCGGGGAATCTTCAAGACATTAAAATATCCAGTTTTCAGAAAGTAGCAAAAAATAACGATTTTAATTTGTTAATGAATTATTATTTTTATTATATTTAATTGGTATGTGTGCATTTTTTTTCTCTCGGAAAATCAGAACTTCAATTTTTAAAACCTAGTATTTGACTTTATTAATAATTATTAAATAAAAAAAAAAATTGCGTAATCAAAATGATGAAGATATTATTTTATTATTTTTTTTTTGTCCCTTTATGAACAAAATAATATTTGGTCCTCTTAATCATAGATACCTATACGAAAAAAAATGTTGGTACCTATTAAGTATTATAACGAATTATAAAAACAAATTGATGTAGTGATATTATTATTTGAACTTATAAGTTTATATCAACATTTGAATTTCATTGATTTTTCTTATCTTAAAAATAATAATGATAATAAACATAAATGATAAAAAATAAAAATAATAATAATAATAATAAAAGTAATAAGAGTGGAATAATAACAAAAGTATTAGGAGTGGAATAATATTGAGTTATCAGATTCGAGCCCGTGCCCGACGAATAGTGTAATACACAATAATAATGATCGGTTACTTACGGTGACTGAGTACTTTTTGAATTCCGGGTACTCGGCGGCCAATTGTTTGAAGTCGGGCGGCGTGCGGTACATGTTTCTCGGGTGCATGAATCGGTTGGTAGTGGACATGATTGTTGTCAAAGGGAATCGGAACGGTTCTCGACCTGACCGCAGGGACGCCGTCGTCGCGACCAGCGGCTCACTGGTGTACGGTTGTCGCGCGGATACGGTTCGACTCGGCTGCGCCACACGAAACGTGCAATCTCCTATCGACGCCCAACAGCGATTTGAGCGCGCGCACGTAGTAAATAATACGTCCTCCGTGTTTGAGGTGTTTATTTACGTTTTCGGTCGGCGCGTGCGCGAGCCCGGGTGCGCGGCAAACTGATTCCAAAGACGTTATACACTTTTCACCTACTTCACCGCCCCCTCCGCCCATTGGGCGACGTAATTTCACAGATTATATGAAACCAAAGATATCTTCTAACACCGTATATGAAACATTACATTTATTAAATTTATTATGGATTTAATTTTAGTTTCATATATTCTCTGGTAATATCACTTGCCTTGAGAAATTATGTTTTCGTAAGAACCATATCGTTTGCGAACATCATCGATTATGGTCGACAAGAATTTGATCCGAATTTCAAAACATTTGCAACCGCGAACGCAGTACGCTGTGCGCCAGCGGTTCACAAACTCGTTTTAGTCGCGTATCACCAAAACGAAAAAAAATAATCGCGCCTCCCACGAACAAATAAAATCACATTTTCTATTATATTCAAGTATGAGTAAAGTGTTTTCGATCTAAACACAAATATTCATCGCAAGTTAATATTATAGTAATATATGCCTCAGAGTTTGGGAGTCATTGTGTTATGTAACAGTGTCGCTTTTTCGATCACCGATTCAACCGGATCGTCTTATCAACCTTAGTTCTTGATAATTCAGTACACAACTAAACAGTATCAGTGGACTGTAATTGTATACCTTTGCTCGATACATTAACCTCTGTGGTCCCGTCCCGTTGCTGTTATTTTGTCTTTGTACTGTCTTTCAGTTTAGTTTTATTGTAACTTCTTAATTGCCGAAGAAAAAATTGAAATCAACTGCATAATTTATAAATATGGCATCTTTTCACGGAAAACATATGCCCAAAGACACCCAAATTATTGCTTCGATCATGAAAGATTTAGGAATCAATGATTATGATCAACAAGTCTTAAATCATCTTTTAGAATTTAACTATAGTAAATAATGTAAAGGAAAAGTAAAAGAATTTTTTTAAAATTTTTTGTATTTTCTAGGATACACAACTTTACTTTTGGAGGATGCCAAGACATTTTCAAACTTTGCTAAAAAAAAAAATGTTGATGTGGATGATGTCAAAATAGCTATACAACTGGCTCAAGATGGTGTATTTTTTAGACCTCCTTCCCGTGAAGTAAGATACCTAAATTATTGCAACATTATTTGGACACTAAGTCAGCAAACTAAGAGTTTTTACCTAATATAACTTGTTGCCTTTATACGTACATAACATTTTTAAAATATGAGCAATGTTATTGAAGAGCAATTTATGTTTAATGGTTTCTGTTTGGAATACTTTAGAAATTGAAAATGTTGATTTTTCTAAGCAATTCATCATTGCTTCTTGGTTATTAATTATATCCATATATTGTCCTATAATTTGTGTGTACCATTAATGAAAAGGAAAGTTGTATATAGTAGTAAAAAATTATTTTTCATAATTTGTTTTGATGCCTTTACATAAGGTGACCATACGTCCCTTTTGAACGCGACAGTTCTGTTTTTTGTATCTTTGTCTCGTTGTTTCCAGGGAATTTTTGAAACAATAAAATGTTCTGTTTCCAAAAAGAAGTAAAAAATAATGATGGTCAATTTTAATTTGTTGATGAATTATTGTTTTTATTATATTTAACTAGTATGTATGCATGTGACATGTATACTCTGTGTTACTGCTTTATGGGTGGTGACGAGTGACAACGGTGAATGGCGAGGGATGTGAGTGGTGTATTAGGATAGATAGCTACACTGATAAAATATATAATATACAATATAATATTTAAATACAGCAATATCAGTGCAAACAAAAAATGATTTTTCATATTTAATTATTTCAGTGTTACAGTAATCGTTGACCGTTTTTTTCAACGTACGCGTTTTTCTTAAAAATATATGAAAAAAAAAATTGTTTATAATAAAAATTAGTTATATAATAATAGGTGTAATTAATAAATTAAATTTTTTTCATCCTTGAAACCATAATAGTAATTCATTTTATTAATAGTTGTTAAATAAAAATATATATATAATCAAAATGATGGAGATATTAGGAGAATATATGGTCACCTTACCTACATGCCAACAATATTATTCAATTGATATTTGACAATGTTTCTTGATCAGCTATATTCTTAGGATGTTATAATCAATAGTTAAGTGTTGCAAAACAATGGTAATTATTTTTATATAATAACTAGGGCTAGGATTTGTATGCAATAAAAAATTGTAAAATATGCATTTAAATTTTTATAAGATTAATACAAAAATATAGTTACAAAAAAAATATTTATTGAAATACATCAGTGGTTAGCTGTTTGTCTTAATTTAATGTAATTTAAGAATAAAATAAAATAAATTTTATGTTCAACAAAAAAAACAATTTTTATCCTTTAATCATCATGGCTAGAATTAAATATGAAATATTAATATTAAATTATAAATATCAATTACGAAATATACTATAAAACATTCATTTTTCATATTCTTATAATTGAAATGTGCAATAATATTAATCTTATTCAGTATATACAATAATATGCATTTTATCCAAAATATGCAAAAACATGCTAAATAAAAACACCACCATTTATCTCATAATGAGGTAATTCTTGGACATAAATGATAAAATTAATAATCAGAAGTCGCAAAAAAAACATGCTGTTGCATACAAATCCTAGCCCTGATAATAACTGTACTGAAAATAATTTTCTATAATTTTGAAAGTCTATATAAAATATATTCATTGTGCATATAAAGTTGCATATATTTTTATGCTATAGATTAATTAAATATAATATTGAATATGGTTATCCTTTTTTTTTCTAAATTCATTATACTAGAATTTTGATACCAATATAAGTCTGTCTTTTATAACAATTTAGTTTAAATTATTTTATATTAGAGTATTTTGTTTTTATTTTGGACATCAATTAATATAGCCATATTTATCTGATTCCTATTCTGTTATAATTTAACAAGCCTATACAACTTTGCTCAATCTGGATACATGACCTTATTAATCGTAATTCAATTTATGGTTTGAGCACATGGGATAGATTTTATTCAAAACAATATTTTAATTGTTCTTTATTATGATAGTCTATTAATTGCATTAATTACAGGTATTAATGGCAGCTGCTCGTGATGTAAATAGGATTCCATTACCTATGGTTAAAGCTTCTAGTGGATTGCGAATTCCTCATGATCGTTCTAACTTTTTGCAAACAAACTACAGACTCAAAAGTGATTTGGTAAAGATAAAAAATTATTTAATACTTTAATACATATAATATAATGTTTTAATTATTAGGTTTCTAGTGCAAACATACATAAGTCAGATATCAAAACAACAGCTGCAGAAATGTTAGAAGCATCCAGAAAAATAGAAATGGAGGATAGTGTTTATACACAATGTAATTACATTTATTAAATTTATTAAATTATATTTTAGGTTTTTACTCTATGTTAATCAGATGTCTAATTTTTAGCATATGGTGTAAATTACATTGTATAATTAATAAGAAATAAAATAACCGCCTTTATTTAGCAATTATTTTGGATAATCAATTATGATTGATTGAATATTCTTCCATTTATTTAGACTTAAATGAAAATAAAATCATAAGCTTTCTTTAATAATTATGAAAAATATTTTTTAAAATTAATGCATTTAATCAATAGTAATTCATTTTTAAAACTTTTCATTCAATATAATGTTTACAAATGACTCAATTAAGTTACTTGTATAATACGTTTTTATAACAATTTTGAATTATTGACATGATATAGAAATTTGATAAATCTATCCAAATTATTTTATTGTTTGCTGTATAATAGTTGTACATCTAATAATATTATTAGTGTTATACATAACTGTTTTAAACATGCTATGAATTCTCTATAGCTATGTAAAGTTTAGATGCAATTTTGTATTTATTAATATGTAATAATAATTTTGTTATGTTGATAGCTGATCAAATTATGAACAATTCAATAGATTTTGACTTGCAAGAAATAATTGAAAATCGACCGAATAGTCAAGAAAACGTTGGAGAAAATGGCAAAGACGAACTTATGGAAACTCAGACTTATGAAGACCGCTCTTTTTCTGATAGTCATCTCAATGATTCAGTAAAGCAACTTGGTGATTTGTAATTTTCATTAAATAAATGAAGCTCATACAATATTTATATAAATGCAAATCAAATACTATATTATTATAATTATTAAGAACTATTTTTGAAAATATTTAGATACATTTATAATAATATAGTATCTTAAAATAAGTTTGATTGGTTAAGTAAAAAATATTATCTTATTACATTGTTGAATTCCAATTTATATCTGTATTATAATAAACATATAACATTGTGATTTATTGGAAATATTAACACAATTTATGATTATATAAGTACAAAAGTGTTGAATTTATATCCAAGAATAAAAATACTTAAATATATACACGTGTTTGTGGTAATTAATTTTTAAGCACTTTAATTGTATTGAATTTTAATAAATTGATACATTTAGAAACTATGGATACTATTGTTATTGATGGGGGGATTGGTGTACTGTAATTTCTCCTTCCTATCTAGAGTGTTGTTAATACTTATAAATAACAGCGCTTATGCCTTAAATTGTTATCAGTATGTTAACAATATGAATCCAAACAGCATAAACCAGGCAGCCGAAAATCAAAAAACCTCCCTCTATTTGTGAAAAGCCATATGAAATAAATAAAAAAAATTGTTTTTTAATAAATCTATTGTGATAGCTATCCAGTAAAAGATTTTATTATGATTTTGATTATTTTATAACTTTTATATATATCATTTTTATATTACATCTTATATTTGTAGATAACATTATCTTAAAATTAAATATTGGGTGTATTCATAGTAGATATAATATTAAGAACTATAAAATATATTTAGTGTAACTATGTAGTGTCAAATAGTGTCCTCTATTAGGAAACATTATGAATAACAATAAAAGGGCTCGGAATTGTTAGATAAGTATTCATGGGCTCCACAATTGCATGTTTAGTGAAGCCCATTTTTCTGTTGAAGTAATTAAAATTACATAGAATATGCGAATGGGTGAATTCGGTATGTGTGGATTTAAATTTTTTTTTAGTAAAAACGAAACCAGAAGATGGATAATCCATCGACATTTTAAATTTTCTTTAATCTAATAGTTTTTATTTAATTGTATAGACGCAAAAAAAAAAAAGAGAGAATATAAATATATATATATAGAGATTAACCTCCTCTCAGATTTTTTAAAAAAAGTTCTACAAAATACACCAGATAGTTTGCCTCAAATTGTATTCGAAACACAGCAAGTAGCTAAAAATATGCAAATTATATCAAATTTCAATAAATATAAAATACTAGACGAATAAAAAAAAAAAAATTGTTTATCAATGAAAGTTCTGAAAGTACTGAACCTCAAATGGTATTTAGAAATTAAGTTGTTTTATACAAAATTGACTTTATTCGGTCAGATTTTGATCATTATCAAGAGTTAAAAAATATTTATGACGTTATTGAGTCATTATTAAAGTTTTTATCACAGATAAATGAAGTATAAGAATCGAAAACAAATTCCACACTTGTACGAAAATACAAATCAGATTAATCTGGAAAAATATGTCATGAAACGTTACACCAGAAAACTATATATTCTTCAAAATTAAAAAAAAACAATTTCAATGCTACCGCTCGAAATTTTAATAGTTCGTGGTAAATTGTATTATTGGAAGTTATTTAAAGGGCCCGAATATTTATTACAGGGGCCCAGAATTTGATGTGGGCGCCGCAGGTTATAATAACATATCATAATCGTATTATACGTATGAATCCAACGCTACGCGCGTTTGTGTATTTTCTTTTTCTTTATTGAAACTTTGTAGAATTACAATTTATTTTAACATTTACAAATTAGAGATAACAATGAAATGCATAATTATTTAACTAAAATATTATAACGTACATTTAATGTACAATAATTGAATCTAATTAAATGGACAGACCAGCCTCAAGGATGAAGGATAATATTCGGATTATAATGATTTCAGAATTTGAATTAAGAATAGAAAGACGAGTTTGTGTACATTTTATGGAATTTTTCAGTTCCAGCGGAGTGAACGGCGTTCTGTTGTCATTACTGTGACATACTTTAATTTTTACTTTAATTTTCATTGTGTACCGCGCACGTTCAGTCACGAAAGGGCCGGGGTACAATCATTATACCTCGGTTTATGTTGACGTTACTCGATGTACACGCATACAACCCCGCCAGAGGAGGGTAAAAGGATACGAGACGTGAATTAATGGTCTGTAAGTAGGGGGACATTAAAAAGCAACAAAATAAAAGTTGTTACGTTTTTAATGCGCGTAAAATCTCAGTCGTTAACAAGAAATAAATATAAAACATACATTCACGTGCAAACATCTAGCTGCGGTTTTAAACGATCGAAAAACGTTCTTTTGGTATCGAATGATAACACCAAGGATTATTAATTTGTTTGTTCGGTAGACACTCTATTAACCGTCACTGTCGGGAACTATGACTATGAATCGAATATACGGTTACGCAGACGTTTTGCAATAAACGTATACATTTTACGTGTGCACTTTCAGAAAAAAAAAAAAAAAATAATACACATATATACGGGCATGGCCGTTTTCGACCAAAAAAGTACACTTCCCTATTCTGCCGATTCACTTTTCGACCAAAACAAAAATTTATATAATAAATTTTAAATAATAAAATAATGACGAACAATTTTTGTCAATAATTATTAAAATATTAATATAAAAAATAACGATGTTTTATACCTAGTTTTGATTTCTTATCGTAATGAAAATTTTTTGCATTTTTTTTTTTCGAAAAATTAGAACTTTAATCTTAAAAATTTTAGGACTTCGCTCGTTACGTCTGCCGGTTCCACTCAAAATCGAGTGCCATTGCGTGGCACTTTTCGGGGAAATGATGTACCGCCCCAAGGGGAATTATAGTCTAAACCTAACCTAGTTTTCATACAAACCTTGATACTGTTGCAAATGGGATTATGCTCTGTATGTGAACCTAAAACCTCGCTACGCGAGTAAAACCCTGAATCGACATTAATATATTATAATAGTTTCCATCATAATCAAACATTGTATATCATTATTTTATTATTTTAAATTTGTTATATAAATTTTTGTTTTGGTCGAAAAGGAAATCGGCCTATTTTAAATTTGGTCGAAAAGTAAATCGGCAGAAAAGGGAAGGGTACGGTTTTGGTCGAAAACGGACTCACCCATGTATAGTACGTATTACATGCCATGCTAAACACTACCTGAACTGAAACACTAACAATTTTAAACAATATAATTTGTTATTTTATTTTGTTTTTTTTTTTCGATACTCGAATTTTTTTAGCTGCAATATTTTCGTATTTTATGAAGCCGTAAGATGACCGGGTTAATCGTCAGTCGCTGATTAAATTAAATTGAAAATAATTCAATTTGTTCGTTCACGTAGCGTTTTTCGCATATGTCGATCATTAGAAAAAAATTGTATACGCTTGATAGTCGCCGCGACGAGTTTATCAATTTGCAATAATAACCCTATACCATGTGTACGACTACATTGTTACGTGCGTAGACATGCGCAGACCTGTAATTCAGAGGATACCTACAATACTTTCTTAACAAAACGTGTAATTACAAGCATGTTTAACAAATTGTAATGTATAAATAATTTTATAAACATAACATTAATTTTATGTTTAATATTTTGATATATTAGTCCCGATGGAAATGCCTTCCTTGGATCACGTATATTTCCTCAGATAGCTTCGATAATTTACGATTTGTACTTTTGAAGTCAATGGTAGCTGTTTTATTATCACAATAAGATTTGCACGAAAATTTCAAAAATGTAGTTTTATTTTTTCTATTACGAAACATCATTTATTTTTTACCAAATATTTTTGAGCAAATAACATTTAATTTGAGCAAAATCATTTACAATACGGGCCTCTAACTCTCTTAGACTTAAATTTCGGGGGGTGCCTGGGAACAACCGGCATTCTTCGTGCGTACGCTTATGTATATGTGATATTATTGCAATTGCAATGAACAAAAATGAAATGTCAATACTATTTTATTTAATTAATGACGTTCGTATATAAAATTTCTTAGCCCCCCCCCCCAACCCGTTTAGGATTCTAATGAGAAAAAATATTTAATATACACGTATTATACTTTTTTACGCATAAAATACTCAATGACGCAGATGGTTTGATTGGTATTTTCAGTAATATCGCGTAATAGCGTGTTACAAGTTCGATACGCGGAAATCAATTCATGCGGTACAGTATAATAATGGGATTATAATTAAAATTGTAGGACATTGTGACTTCAAGAGTAAACATTTTCGGTTTGGTATACATAGTGGACAGTATATAAATTAGGAATGGGCATAAAATTTAAAAACCTGAATTATCTGAATTATCCGAATATCCAAATTCGGATTTCAATCAAATTCTTATCAGGATTTGCCGAAGTATCAGAATTCGGCTTTATGAATTTGCTTTTTATATAACTTACAATTACTTTTAATTTCTAGTAAAATAAATTATATTATTATATTGTAACAATAAATTAATATTATATTTTATGAATTTCAATACAATTGTCATGACCTTAACAGTTTTTATAATTTATTATTAGTTACCAAAATAACAATTTATTAAATTGTTGAATTTATTTTATACATCTAGGACTTACAGTAATAACTTGACTGAATACCCAAGTAACTGTATGACCTTTGAATGGTTACTGAATAAGCTTTTCTGTAGATAAGTTAAATTTACGAGTATATTACAGTACAATATAGGAATGATACAATAATAACTATTATTGACATAATTATTTATTTGGAAATGTTATCTTACAGTTATCAAATAAAAATTTGAGTTATTGAACAACAAAATGTAATTGAATAATCCAAATAAACCATGAAATACAGATTTCCTAAATATAAATATAAATATATTTCCTAAATTGTATTATCCAAATATTTGTAATCCGCATGAATGTTATTTATTTATTGTATCAAGATGATACACAAACGTTCTGCGGAGGTTTTTTTTAAATTTTTCCGGGAGATCCTTGCATATATTTACTTCTCGTCGCATATGAACTCGTTTAAACAAAAACTATGAAACCT